GTTTACAAACTGTGAGGCACTATATCAATAAGTTCTCATTTGCAGAGGGCACAGCATAGGATATGAGGCCAGTAATGTTAATTCCCTTCCCCCATCCATTCCTTTCTCTTGTTCCTTTATGTATGCAGATCAGTCACACTATTAAGCTAACAATGTAACTGAGCTATTATTAGCTTAATAATGTAACCAAGAATCTGATTTTTAGCAAGGGGCTAGTTCTTAGAAACTTAGGGAGCTGGAACTCTGAATGTATGGATTAAAATAATGCAATTACATCATGAATTTTAAAATTTATCATCATTGATTAAAAATTAAAATATTAAATTAAAAATTTATTATCCCGCAGTTGAGACTCACCGCAACATGTGACGTCTGTCAGGCATTCACTGTCACAACACAGCTTGACTGTCTTACAGACAACCTCAATAATATTTTTAAATTGGCAGAGGCAGCAGGCCATACGGCTAGGTAAGATCCTATAAATGGAAACATAGGTAATTAAATTCGTGGTAAAAGAGTTACTTGAGTAGGTAGAAGAGGTAGGCCAAGGCCACCACAGACCTGTGCAAAAAGGAGTTCTTGGGGCATATGGGCTGCAGAACTGGATAGGGGCAGGTTGGCCAATTGCTGCTCTTGACTGTTGTAAATAAATATAGAGGAGGACAGAGGTGCCCAACAGAAGGATGAGGATGGCAGTACGTATGGTATGCCTAGGAAAAAGGGAATAGAGATTAGAATTGGGTGACACTGATCTGTAGTTTAATTCAGAAGTGTCTCCTTCCAACCCAAAAGCCTCACTTTGGGTTAAGAGTACACAGGAAGAAGGCAGACTTCTAAGAAGAGTCTGAATAAGGCCGCACCTTCTGTAGTCCCTTTCTCAGGTCCTATCTGTGAGTAGTAATATATTACAAGTTATTCTAGTCATAAAAAAGCATCATGTGGTTTAACAATAACAGAGATCGCATTGGCCAAATCTGGACAAAAGGAACATTCTAAAGAATAACATTATCATTATAATAAGGTATAACATAGTTAATTTTTAAAAAAGCACATGAGTTCATAACGATACTCAAATGAAAATTGGGGAGCTCTTCTTTATAGAATAATGTCAGCTAATAAATGCACAAGGAATGACAGAATAAGAAAAGTGTCATTTTGCAACTATCAATGTAATAATCGATTCAGACAGGGATTATCATTGATGCACAGTTGGGTGAAGAGTTGTTTGAAAGTAGGATCTTCACTGATCCCAAAGTATCACTCCACATATTATTTATCAACTACCAAGGGGAAAAATAACTTTACAATGGAGAGATATGGAAGATACCACATTAATCAAGTGATCAAACTTAGCACTGGGCCACCTGAAGTGCTGAAGTATGAAGAATACATCACCTATATAGTATTCTTCCACAAAATGTTTACTTTGAATCTAATGAGGAAACAGACAAATCCAGATTGTGGGGAAATATACAAGACAACTGGCTTAGACTCTTCAAAAATGCCAATGTCATAAAGACCAAAAAAAAAAAAAAATGTTAGGGAAATATTCTAGATTAAAGGAAACAAAGACGTAACATGCAATGCCTAATCTTTAATCGTTCCCTGTATCAAAACAAAACAGACTTAAAAGAATATTATTGGCTTCTGGCCAAGATGAAGTAACAAGGACCAATTTAACCTCCCACCTGAAACAATGAAAACGTCAAACAGAGCATATGAAACAAAAGTTTTCAAGAAACTGGACCTCAGGCAATAAAGTTCAGTGATTCCCCAAGAGATGGGAAATAAATGAAGTGATCCCTATAATTGCCCTAACTTACTTCTCTGAGAGAGTTTCCAGGTCATGGTACAGGGAAGAGAAGTCCAGGCAGAGACTGGTGGACTCCATGACTGAGGAAATGGAGCTGACAGTCTGGGAAAACCAAGGTAACTAG